CCGCCTCCCGCGCCCCCCGCCCCCCGGCCTCATTCATGCTGCCGCCGCCGCGCACCGGCGCTCCCGCCCCGCCCCCTCCGCACACCCCCACGGAGCCGCCCCCGTGGCCCCGCCCCCGCGGCGCCCAGGCCACGCCCCCTTTCTCCCCTCAGGCGGGAGCAGCCCCCGGCGGGCCTGAGGCGAGGGGAGGCCTGATCCCGCGGCCGCTGCCGGCTCTGCGTCCCCGCCGGCGGGCAGTACGGGCTAGCAGCTGCCCTGCCACCCCGGGGATCTCGGCCAGCTCCACCGCTGCCTCCTGGGCGGCCTGGGGCTCCCGTGGGCCGGGCTGGTGCTGCAGTGCCTTTTCCCCCGGGCGCGGCGAGCCCGAGCCCCATGGCCCGCAAGATGGCGCCAGGAAACCGCGACAGGGGGGATTTTCCCCGGGGAGAGGGGAGAAATGGTCTCCGGTGGGACGGGAAGGCAGAGGGCCGCCGGGGGGCTCTGGGGCGCCGAAGGCAAATCTCTGGCTGGCTGACGGAGCCGGTTACGGGGGTGGGAGCTGGCGGAGCTGCCGGGCCCCTCGTTATGCCTGCCTGTGCCCCTCAACAACTCGTGTGCCCACGGTATGGCTCAACCCAGATGCGAGGGGTGACACCCGCGCCCCCGTCTTCTGGGAGTCCAGAACATCACCTTTGCTCCTCTCTAGGTCGTTTGGGTAACACGATGTGCTGAGATTTTTCTGGCTGTTTTGCCTTGCTCGGGAGCAGCCGCGTTACAGGAAGGACCCTGGGTGCCAGCACCAAGATCGGACCCACGGCTTTGTTAACACTGCAAAAACCAGCGTTTAGGAAGTGCAGCTCAACAGACAAGGGCTGGAACAGGGAACTGCCCCAGCTGCGTGCTGCCAAAGAATGAGAAAGGCTATTCGGCATCACGCCTAGTAACAAAATGTGTAGGTTTTCCACGGAGAGGGGCCGCGGCCAGGAAAAGAGGTGGGGGGAGGCCTTTTCTCTCTGTTCGGATTGAATTCAGGCAACACGCCCAGCAGCTGCAAGAGAGCTTAGAAGCACTGTTCCCTAAAGGCACTCACTTTCCTGAACAACCATCTCACCCCAGGACCTTGTGAGTAGTATTCCACAACCTTTCCTCCCAGCTCTGCCATGAGGTCATTCCTTGGGGTGCAGAGGAGTAAAGTGGCATCCCCAAGGTCCAATAGGTAGAAAAAGAAATTTAATTGAGTTTTCTACCTGCCAGGCGCAGGATGAGCACTAAAAACCACTGGGTTTCCACTCTCCCAGCCTCCACAGACCAAAAAGCCAAAGTAAGCTTTGTCACTGCAGACACAGGGGGTCCAGGCAAATAACACACCAGCTACATAGGAATAGTAGGAAGAGTGAAAAAGCTGCAGTGGCAGATCGTTCGTTGTCAATGTTTGTAGGCTGGTAATTTTGCATAGCCGTCACCATTTCCACCCCAAAAAGTGGTTACGTCCCCAAATCTTTCTACCCAGGACAAAGCAGGGCTAGGCTCGCTGCCATGAAAAACATGCTGTGCCTCTAGACTCAGACAGAGAACAATTCCCTGTCCAGAATTGTCTGTTTTCAAGCTGAAAAGGAATCATTCTGTTCCTGCTTAGTTTAAAAACAGAAACTTGTTGCTGAAATCAGTTTCTGTGGCTTTAACTGGCCACAGAGACAGCCCCCGAATATAATTGTGTTAGGCTGGAAAACAGTCTCCACTTTACCAATAAATGCTCAGTAAATAAATCAGGGCAGCTGCAGTAGCAAAACACAAAGTGAGGAGATAGGCACCTGCCTTTCTATCTAGCTCTTTCCGTGACTTGTCGGAGACACTTACCAGAGGGTTGCAAGAGCTAAGAGCGGCGTTGGAAGCTCTCCAGAAGCAGCTGCTGGAGGTAACAGGAGAAGTGGCTAATGAGGATGTTCAGTGTCCGTTCCTGCATTACAACTATAGTGTTATGATGTGGCACGTAGAGGGTGAAACACAATCTTCCTCACCTCTTAATGGACAAGGCGCCCTGCAGAGGATGTGTTCCTGGCACTTACAAACAATCCATGGCACCTGGAAACAAATTCCTTCTCATCTGGGACAGCTACACACTCACTTTCTAAGCAACGCTGTCTCTTGTGTTCCCCATGCCCATCCCGTTTCCACTCCTTTTCTACTTGTGCATGCTGTGCACGAGACAAGGAGATGCGTAGCTGAACCGTTCATATCAACTAATGGTAATTAATTGTTCCCACTAATTGTTCTCTGTTTGCATCACACGGGAAAATGAGTGTAGAGCAGTGGGACCTCGGGATTTACAGGAGACATGCAGCTTACTGACATGCAAATGCTAGTTCTTCAACTTTTTGAGGTTTTTTGCAGTGGCAGTTTTCTGGCAGTAACTCATTTCCTGTGAGCTACTTTTTAGAGAAAAGCAGCAAAGCAAAACAGCAATTCGGATCACAAGATGACTCATCCTGATCTCGAACTCCTTTGCCTTTTTTTGGCCTGTGCTGGCAGACTAAAATAATCAGGACAGGCAGAAGCAAGTCCAAAGAACTGAAAAAATCCCAGACCCTTTAGGGGATGGAGGGCTGGACACGTATGCTGCAAAGCCAACCCATCACACGGAGAAAGATATTTTCTTTAATGAAAATATGAATACAGAGATCATTGAAGAAACTGGTTTTGGTCAAGGACAATAAATGTGTTTAAAGCATGATTACAACAAAACAAAATGAAATTAAAGGATTAACATTAGACTGTACAACACACACCTCATCTCTAGACAGACGGACCTTCCTTTTCTAAAATTAAGAAAATCATGGTCTGTGTCTCCAGTGGGGGAAAAGGCACCGTGACCGGGTCTCTCTGGCAAAACCAAGTGGGGAAAAAAAGCAAGAACATTTGTCCTTTGCAACAAACTGCAAGAGGTAAAATTGACTCTGGATCTCTTTTAATGAAGCTACAAGGCAATCTGGCAAATAACCCACACATTGCTCATGGACACACAAAGGTTTAGAATAATTCAACAGTCCTGCTTTTCTAAACGAAGCAATTACGCCCAAGTTTGTCCCACAATCCCACTGTAAAGCGTTCCATGTATCATTACCTCCTTCGCTGATTAGTGAAGATCAGCTCTTCAGACTGCAGGCCTGGGGTCTTTTGCAAGCTACCTCCTTCCTAGCATTTCAAGAACCAAGGACATCAGTGCCAGTCCTGCAGGCTGAACCCCTCCCTGAACCACAAGCCTGGCAGGGCTGCATGCGAAGCAGAAAGCACTGCCTCCACGCACCAGTGCTCGTGTTCATGACGTCCAGGGAATAACAAAAATGGAAAGCTTGACTGAGGCTTGCACTGAAGATGCAACCACTGCAGTTAGAGGAGATCATGGGGAAAAAGAAGAAAGGGAGACTTCTCTGGCTGGAAAATTTCATCTGTTTGGCAAAGCTTTCCATGAGTAGCCTACCCAGTGAAGCAGAGTATTCTTTCTGTAAGAAGTACCAGTTCCAAGCCCTGCCTAGCTCTGTTTCTACCAGCCTCAGGGTGCTATTAGATGTACTGAGCACTGGGCATTAGCTCCAAGAGCTGATGCTGGTACACTTGCAGAAGTGCAGTTTTACCGAGAGAGGTGGGGGCTGAGGCTGCCGAGCAGGAGCTTATATCCACTGCAGAACACCATGCAGGCACCACAACGGCACCACATGCTCTCTTTGAATACCCCAAGGAGGCCTCTGAGCAGATGGACATCCCAAGGACCACAGCTCAGCTGTGGAAATGCACAAGGAAGAAACAGAGTGGCCATCGTGGTACTGGGTGGCAGGCATGTGGCACTCTAATCTTGCACATGCTGGTGATGTGATTTTAGCAAAGGTGCTCGTAAGGCTTCAGAAGTTCACAGTATGAGGCTTGTTTGTAACTCCAGCCTGTCCGCACCATAGCTGGCGTGGCTATGTATTTATTGGGGTGCTGCAGCTACCTGGTCAGTCTGTAACCTCCCTGGCAACTGTGGTCCCTAAGCCCATGCAAGTTGAGACAACAGGGATGCAGGTGAAGGAGCGCGCCTATCTCCCATTTTCCCTGAGCAGAGGGATTGTATGACAAACATCTCAATGCACCAAAGCACACTGCTCCTCACATAGCTAGTCTTCATGAGACAGTTCCGATGAATTAGACCATCTGTCTGTGACCACTGGGTCACACCTTAGCACAGAAATTTCAGGTCAATAGGACAAGTAAATTCTGTATCCCTAATAAAGGAAATACTTTCTTGACTAAAACGGAAGTGTGTAATCTTCTTCAAAAGTCATTTTTTGTCCTCCATGCTGTATTTCAGACTGCGTGGAGACAACTTGTTTAAACAAATGAGTCTACTTTTTCTGTCAAAAGCATTAACTCCTAGCTGCTTCCCACTTGAAAATCACTTATGGAAGTAGTTGGTTTTTTTTTTTTCTTTTGCAATGGCAATAGAGGATATATGTAGTGGCTGTCTTCTGAAATACTAACATCCTGTCAACTCTATCAAACCTTCTGATCTTCAACTTCCCACAAAGTTCACAGGGTGTCTACTTACCTTAAGCAAAAATGGATTGCAGTCAGAAGGATGGGAATTTTAACGAAGCATGATATTCCCTACTGTATTACCAAGTCCCTAGAGACGTTTAAAATAAATTAACCAAAACAAAACAAAACAAAAAAACGAACAAAAAACAAACAAAAAAAAAAACAGCAAATGCAGCTAGAGTACTGAGAGGAACTCTGTGATCTAAGACAACATGCCTGTCTTTGAGAACAGATCGTACTGCGAGCAGCCTGCTTCCCCATTTGGTACCAGAATCTCCGCTGGCCAAAAAACTCGCCCCTCCTCTCCCAGTCCTACAGGATCACCTAGCCATTTCCTTCCTGCGTTTCCTACCTCCAGTTAGGTGCACAGATTGTCTTTCCAGTACACAGTCCCACTGGAAAAGGCAGTGCTGCTCCAGTTCAATTCAGCAATAAGTAACCCCTGTAAAACTATGGCAAAAATTGGCGATTCTGCCAATGTTTTGGTGGGCCAAAACATACAGCTCCGTGAAACTAAGCAGACTGTCATCTGAGAAAGACAGAGGCAGGACTGCAAGGTTTGAGGGAGTGCCCCCAGCCACAGCACTGGAATGGTGGTTAGCAGTCACTTGGCTTAGGCAGGTTAAGATGGAGAAGCTCTGCCTGAGCCCTTGTGGCACGCACTCCCAGGATCAGCACTGTGCACGCTGCACTGGCGTATACCCTGAGCTTTTGCACTCAGAGAGAGGGGAGGAGTCCTCTGCCGTGCCTTCCTGGCACGCTCTGTGGCCCCTCCAACCACGCTGAACGCCTCAGCCAGCTTAAACCAAATCTGGCAGTGGCAGAAGTCTCAAAGGCATTTGGCCCCTACAGGCTTTTCCATGACCTTCAGTGGCATATTAGAGGCCAGGAGACGTACTAGCAAATTCTTCTGAACAGCCCAAATATAAGGAGTGCTTCAATCAAAATGTGTTCGTGATCAAACGAGTCCAGAAATAAAAACACTGAATATATTAGTTGCAATTTTGAAAGCATATGGAAGACAAAGGTTATTGTTCCCTGCTATTCTGAGGCTGCTGGTCTGGAATGCTACCATCGCTTTCCAGAAGGCATCTAAGAGGCACTTCCTTCTTCTTTGTGGATTGTGCAATTTGCAGGTACCCACCTGGCATTTAACCCTTTGGAAGATCAGCACGGCAGCATGGAGAAGGGGCAGACGTGGTAGGGCCCAACTTGAAACGATAAGCATTAAGTCATAACTTCTGATGGGAGAACCAACCTACCTCCAAACTGGGCGCCTGTCTTTGTTGGAGCAAACAAGATTACAGGCCATTTGGGAGTGCGCTAAAATAACCATTCTTTGGCCAGAAATCACACAGCTTGGCAAGTCACAATGGACCCTCCAGCACGTCTCTCTCAGCTTCAAACCTCTCTTGAGTGCTTCAGGATTTTGTTTCCCAATGCTCCTCTGACAGACAGCAAGCAAACATGATCCCTTTTCGTAGCGACTTCAAGAAACAAAGGCACCTACGCAAATCACCAACTGACAACAAAGATCTACCAGTTGTAGACCGCTACTCCTAATATGCAGAAGTGAACTGCAATCGACAACACTGATCAGTTGTCATCACCGATGAGGAAGAGGACAGTTACTTTAAAAACCCAGTTGGTAATCTCAGTTTCTCAAGGCAGAATAAAAACACGTGGGACCAGACCCGTCCCACACAACTGGCAATGCACTGAGGACATGTAGTGAGCCCAGCAGCAGGCTTTGTGGCTCAGTTTTGCGGCTGGAAGTGCTAGTGGTGGGTTGCCTAGGTGGGACATGAAAGGATACAGGCTCACCATCTCTGGCAAGTCCCAGGACATACAGTGGTAGGAACAAATCCTTATGAGGAAAGACGAAGGGTAACGACTGGGTAAACACAAGAAAAAATTATCAGACTAGCAACGTCCTTCTTATTTCCCTACTAACACATGTGAAATATCTACTAGAATACCCAGCATTGCTGAAAAGGCACCACAGTTGCAGTGAAATACAGCTACTTGAACTTGGATATCCAAGCTGAAGAAAAAAATTGAAGAAGTATATTCCAGGGCTTCTTTTAAAACAGCAAAAGTATTGTATAAAAACATTTCCCTGTACAGTAACATTAAAACGAGAAACATTAACATCTGCATCTTGCTTCAGCTAGTATTAAATTTCATCATAGCTAATGGAAACCACCAACGGCTGCTCTGCATCGGCCCTAAATGCAATGAAAGGGAGCTCACTGACTGTGCAAAACTGCAAATTGCTCCTAGCTCTGTGCATCTCAAAATACGTTGTGGAGCAGAAAATCTTGTTCCCCTAGAAGAGAACAGAGTTTTTTAAAAAAAAAACACCAAGAGACAACTATGTCGTTTGCCTGGTTACTTGAGACCTTCCACATTTCCAGAGGAGAGAGATTCCAGAGCCGCCTGCTATGAGGAACTCTTCTCCTTGTATTTCTGGTAAGCATCCAATATCTCCTTGACAACACTTGGATCGTCAAGTGTGGTGACATCTCCCATGTTGCCTGATTGTTCAGTGACTACTTTCCTCAGCAGCCTTCTCATGATCTTCCCTGATCGGGTTTTAGGAAGACGTTTTACCACCTGCAGAGAAGGGAAAGACGCACCCATGTTAGAACCTGGGTCCTGCTGGAAACCACAAGGAAATTTGGCTGAACTGTCCTAAGCCTGGCACACTATCTCATGGTCACAGCTCCTTTGAGCCTCCTGGGAAATACTAGACCATCGAGCACATTGGTTTATGTCTAAGGAAAGGCGTGTCACTAGCATCAAGTCCTTGTGCTATAGATTTTATCCTTATCTAAGTGGATTTTGTTCCCCATTTACTCATTGCTGTATATCTCCAGGCTGGGTGCTGCAGGATGCATAGCTCTTTGGAGAATCAGGTGCTGAATAAGCTGTTAATTATTGATCTAGAAAGCTAGTTACACTTGAAAACGCAGGCACTGATAATGACACAGATGTCAACACATGACCAGAACAGACATTCGTATTCCCCTTCACAAGGCAGGAATATAAAGCACACAATACTGCACGCCAGCTACAGCGTCACCTACTCAAGGGACAACTCCTGTCTGCTGATGTTTCTCTCTGCTTGATTGTATCTGTCAGCCTACACGCCTTCCTTCGTAACCAGAAGAATGTTAAATGTCTTGCCTATGCTTCCTGCAAAGGACGTAGCTGCAGATTCAAAGGCTTTAGCATAAACTCGAACCTGGTAAAGAGTTCTCAGGCACTGAACAGAGACACTAGCAGGTCTCACATTTTGCTACATGATCAGGCCAGTAGGCTACAAAACTCCAAAGCATTAACTAACATAGAAGGAAAGAGTTGTAGGACTTCTCTGCAGGACTGCCCCCAAACACAGGGAAACAGAGATGTTTCCTTGCAAACCTGCAAATTCTGGGAGCTGCTCCGATCCACTGAGGACGTCTTGGGCTGTTCCAAGTTGCATGAGCCACCCTTGTCTGCTCCTGTCGTATTCTGTAACCTGTGCCTTGGTGTCCACCTTCCCAGCACATGGCTAAAGCAGAGCCCCTCAAAGAAGTGGTCTGGTCACTCCCTCCAAGCAGAGAGTGGAATGGATGCAGAGGGGCCTTGGGGGGCAGCTAAGGGGCAGCTTTGTGCACTCTTCCCAAACACACAAATGGAGCTGCTGAAAGGTGAGCAGGCTTGAAACAGAGCCTGGAGTTTGTCAGTGCTCCCAGGGTCAGGCTGAACAGCCGTCTGAGCTACACAACAGAAACAGCCAGTGCTTTGGGATCTGGAGTTGATGCTAATTATCAGTGCAAAATAGCTGGGCAGTGGAAAGTGTCACTCCGCCCCTCGGTGACAGGGAAGGATGTGGAGTTTCTCTACAGTTTGGTGGGATTTTATCTGATCCATTGCACAGGGCCAGAGAGAGCAGCGCTACATTGCTTCAGCAAGGGGTTAGCCGAGGGCAAGAGCTATGTGGAGCAGTAACGCTGCTGCATGGCGAACAGGGACATCAAGTGCATCTTGAGGCACAGGGTGGGCCTGGGATTCCTCTTTGCCAGAGCTCTTGCCAAGCACGGTGCTCTCAACATTCTCTGTGCATCCCATTTTGAGGGTCGTTCAGCACTTGGCCAAAATGGAGCAGCCTCAGGGTAGCTCGAAAACACGCTCTGTAACAGCCCCACCAAGAAGCTGCTCTGCAGGCTGGAGCACCTGTGATATCCCAGCCACCTGCTGGGTCACTGCTGATCCTCAGGCATGGAGAAGGAGCACCTGCAGACCACTGCACCTGCCCTCCCCTACCCTCCACCTAGTTCTGTTTTTCTGCTTCTTTATCCTGCCAGAGAGGGACACCAGCAGCACTGCAGGCAGGAAGGTGAGGCTTGCTCAGTGTGACCATTCCTGCTCCTGGGCCCCGTTACAGGCTCCCCCTTACC